AATAAGATTGCCACGACACGCCGCGGCGTTCCCTCAAAGATTTGGCGCAGCAGCTTTTGGTCGCTTGAAGACTTGTCAAAGTATTTCGATGGTGTCGACCATCGTGATCTCGATGTCGTGCCGGGTAAGCTGCGCGCCCCCAGGCAGTTTCGGCAGCTTGTGCAGGTGTTCAACGAGGAGCATTACGAGGTCTTCTCAGCCGGCGACTAGCGCCAGACCGAGGACTTTGCAAAGGTTGTCCCTTGAGTCCACAACTCGCCTAGACACTGCTGATGGCTTGGGCGCTGCTCTTTGAAACCTGCCCTAGAGTCCGCGCGGCATCGTTCGTCAACGACAGGTATCAGGTGCAGCGTGTGGCGGACGTGGCCAAGGTTCGACACCTGTGCTCTGAGTTTGATGCTGCATTAGGATTCTCCTGCGATTCGGCCAAGGCAGGTGCAAAGTGGCTGCCTCTTCTTCGAGGGCCTGAGCACTGGGTCGCGGAGCACTTTGCCTACGGCCTGGCCGCGCCTCCACCCTCAAATGCTTGGACTTATCGTTGACTTTGACACGCTGCCTTGGCGGGGTTTTCGCTGATGAGGCAGCAGCGGCTCGAATTGTGCAGGCCAGGTGGGTCCTCTAAAAGGCTTCGGCTAATTCTTTGGACCTGGACTGGTGCCTTTGGCGGCATTCCGCTCAATGAGTCCTTGCTTTGCGGAAGTCTCCCGGCTACAGCTGCCTGGCAGGAGTCGGCCCCGCTCAACGTTGCGCTTCGTGCTTCGTGCTTGGACGTCGTTTTTGCCCTTTGCCTTTGCTGTTACAAAAGCTTGGATGGCAGGCGGAAGAAGGAGGTCGGGTGTTGCGTGCATGGTGTGGTCCGACACTTTCGTTGCGGCCACGACGGTCCGCAGATTCTGAGAGGGTGGAGGACTGGAGGACTGGCGACGACGTGATGCTCTCAGCCGATGTTTTCTGCTCCATCGTGACTTTCGTCGCGGGGCGGCCACCTGCCGCCGGTTGCTGCTGGCACTTTGCGCTTCTTTCGGGGACCCAAGTGCGGTTTTGTTTTGAGTTCGGCTTTCGGCCGACAGATGCCTAGAAGCCACTCATTCGTGCTTGTGTGGCTTGGATGCTCCGAGCCAGCGCCATTTCATCCATATAATCTGGCGGTGCCCTTGCTTTGGTGCTCTCTCAGGGCTCGGCTTTGGGGCCCTGCATGGTACGAAATCTCGGTAATCTGGAAGGGGGAAGCACATGGCAATGGTCTTGTCCTTTTGGTGGGGGGGGGGTCCTTGGTAATCTTGAAATCTTGCACAGGGGTTAAGGTCTAGGGTTTCGGGATGAGGGTGTTGTGACGGGTGCTTGCTGGTGTGTGCACCCCAGGCCGCTCGCACCTATGTGCAGTAGGCAGCCCACCCCAAGACCACCCTGAGTTCAAACACTTTCGGGTTTAGTTCTAAAGTCTTCTGGGTATCCTCGGGGACGTCGACATAATCGACGGGGGCCGGTCCTTTCAACGGGGCCCAGGCAGGATTGAAAGCAGCACTGCATGTGGCCTTTGTGTGAGTTCGTCGCTTCTAGGTTGGGCTTTCTGCGATGCTGTGCTGGCGGGTTCTCATGTGGGCTTTCTGTAATTATAAGGCTGGCCTGGTGGGTGCCGGAAAAGCAGTGGGCTTTCTGGGAGGCTGGAGTTGCGAGGAGACGAGCAGCACTGCACGTGGGCTTTCTGTGGGTTGAGCTTTCTGTGAGGCTGTGCTGGCAGGTTTTCATGTAGGCTTTCCGCAAGGCTGTCCTGGCGGGTGCCGAAAGAAGCAGTGGGCTTTCTGTGAGTCAGGCTGTGCTGGCAGGAGTTGCGAAAAACAAACAGCATAGCATGTGGGCTTTCTGTGAAGCTGTGCTGGCGGGTTCTCATGTGGGCTGGAAAATAGAACAGTGGGCTTTCTGTGAGGCGGTGCGGGCGGAAGGTATGTGGACACAAGCTCCAATGTGCGCGGGTTTTCTGCGAGCCGGTCCCTTTGTAGATGGTGCTTTCTATGGCTGTGCTGGCGGGAGTCGTCGATATGGCGGGAACCCCAACATCGGCCGACAGCCCAATGTAAATGGCACGTTACAGAAAATCAGCTGTCAACCTCTTGGAAAGCGACGCCCAATCGTGAAGGTTGGGGGGTCCCATCCTTGTCCTTTTTGGAACTGCTCCAAATCGTCGGGAAGCCACTCCAAATCCTGAAAGCTTGGGGGGTCCCATCCTTGTTCCTTTGGGGAACCGCTCCCGTTGGGGGGGCGCTCAAATAGCGAAGGGTTGGAGGGGTGCAACCCCTGTCCTTGGAGCCGTCCAAAGAAGGGGGAGATCGGCCGACAAACAGAAAATCAGCTGTCACTCTCCTGGAAGGGAACAGCCGCCAAGTCGTGAAGGGTTCGGGGGGTGCAACCCTTGTCAATAGGACAAGCTGCTCCAACTCGTGAAGGGTGGGGGGGTACAGCCCTTGTCGAAAGGATGTGCCGGCAAACCCCCGTGTTTGGGGTTTATGTATTGATACCACTTCGTGGGAGGTGCCGGAGGGGCCGGCATGCATGGTGCCAGTCGCCTAGATTTACCTAGCTTTACCCAGGTTCCACGTATACGTTGATTGCCGCTCGCGAAGCTCGGGCCGTTTCGGGCTCCGCGGTGGCGGTTGTCGAGCCGGACTTGGTAAATAGTTATTTTGGAGACTTATAAGTATCGTAGCCCCAATTTAGGGTCCCTCAGCGAAAACTTTGGGATAGGGTTTTCGGCTTTGGGTTTCGGGTTTAGGGTTTTCATGGGTTTTCGATGGGGATAGCAAAAAAGCAAGATTACAAGATTGCACGCGACCCACCCTATCCGAACCACCACAGAATGGGCAAGCCTGTACGCCAATCTTGCCCCCCACGCCGAGCAAGCTTGCGTACCATGTTGACCCCCCAAAAGTCAAAAGCAAGATGGGCAAGATTGTACGCCAATCTTGCCCCAAATTGGCTCAAAATCCCCACCACATAATACTCGCGCTAGTGCTGGTGCTAGTGCTAGTGCTTGCAGTAGCACTAACGCTAGCGCTAGCCCTATAGTAGTAGTAGTAGTAATAATAATAATAGTAGTAGTAGTCGTCGTCGTAGTAGTAGTAGTAATGGTGGTAGTAGTGGCAGTAGTGGTAGTAGTGGTAGTAGTGGTAGTAGTGGTAGTGGTGGTAGTAGTGGTAGTAGTGGTAGTAGTGGTAGTAGTAGTAGTAGTAGTAGTAGCAACAGCAACAACAAGAGCAGCAGCAGCAGCAGCTGTAGGAGTAGTAGTAGAAGTAGAAGTAGAAGAGTAATTAGTAGTTGTAGCAGTAGTCGTAAAAGTAGTAGTAGTAGTAGTAGTAGTAGTAGTAGTAGTAGTAGTAGTAGTAGTAGTAGTACTAGTACTACTAGTAGTAGTAGTAGTAGTAGTAGTAGTAGTAGTAGTAGTAGTAGTAGTACTAGTAGTAGTAGTACTAGCAGTAGTAGTAGTAGTAGTAGTAGTAGTAGTAGTGTAGTAGCGGCTGTAGCAGCAGGTCGAGTAGTAGTGGTGGTGGTGCTGGTCGCCAGAAGCAGCAGCAATGAGCAGGAGGGCAGGACACCAGGAATACGACGCATTACCACTAACCACCACCACAGGACGACGACTATTGCTACCTTTGTAGTAGTGACCAAAAAGCAGAAGCAGGTTTGATCTGGTACTGTGGAACGAGACGGTGCTGGAGGGCCAGATGGAGTACTGTCTCCCACCTCCGCCTGCTACTACGCCGTGGGAAGCTGAGAGAAACTAGAACCGATCACAATTTCCCGAAGAATTGCTCACATCATGAGGCCGATGCTGAGTGCCAACGAGGATGGCTGGAACACTCCTGGTGCCGGAGCCTCACGGAGGGCGTAGCTAAGCAGAAGGAATTGAAAGAACAGCCAATTCGGGTTTGCTGCCGTCTTGCGGCTTCAGGGCGGCAACATTCTTCTGACGGGGGCTTCTGGGCGCCGAGTTACCTGACCGTGGCTCAGAACACTGACGCGCCGCGCATATCAAAACACCAGCCACGAGATGCAGCGAGGTTCGACTGTCATGGCTATCGTCATCGGGATTTTGCAAGAGCCCTGCAAAGAGCTGATAGGTCTCAAGTTCTATCTGAAGTCAGATGCCGTGCGCCAAGGTTGATCCAGAAAGCCTAGGCCGCCATGGTCGTGTTTGGGGAGCAACAGCATCAAGAGATCGCAAGTGCATGGTGTAGCAAGCCTTCCAAAGGAACTTGCTCCGGGCAGCTGCCTTGTTTGCTGGAGATCATGAGGTCAGATGGGTGCATCGCTCGCATGTCCGAAAGGAAAATTATGTTGAGGCAGCTGATCCTATGCATGCTAATGACGGGGGCTGAAGCGTCAGCCCTGCCAAGCCGTCCTGGGCCCATGGGCAACCCATGCTGTCAAGGCCTGTTAACGAGTTTTTGTACAGAAACTCTGTGGTTTCATGGCCTGCAGAGAAAAAGTAGAGCCTGCATTGCCAGTCACTTGCTGCGCTCGGTTTCAGGTCATGCTCGTTGATGCGAGTGCTGATGCTGCTTCATACATGTGTTCACGTATGTTCACCAGGCTGAAGAGATACGGACAATATCAGATGGTTCCACCCCTGCAGAGCACAATGGCAGTCAGCAGCTGCCTTGCAGGAAGTTGTTCGAGCATTACCCTCGACTGTTCTGTCAACGAGCCAGTCGTGTCTTGTCGCACGCAAGCATGCAGCACTCATCCTTGCTGCCTGCTGTCAGAAGTCCCCGTTCAAGCACTGGCCACTGGCCTGAACTCCGGGGCATGCGTGACCAATCTGACATTCGGCTGCATCGTCGGTCAAGACAGCACAAACCCTCAAGGACATAGCAGAAGTGTGTTAGGTGGTGCTGTCTGATGGCTGATGACATTCGCACGTGCATCCATATTGTTGTAGCATGGGCATCGGGTTTGCCATGGGCAGCGTCCATCGCCTTGGAAGATCCTGAGATCGGATCAAGATGGGAGGCCTGTGGCCTTTGTCTTGGTAATGCGGTTCCGCCGGTTCCGCAGTCAATGATCTCGTGGCAGCCTGGGATGCCAGAGGCATTTGTGCAGCGTTGGAGCAGTCAGCTCAGCAGCTCAGCGAGATCAGACATCCAAACACGGGAAGCTCCAGAGACCTGATGGCGCTGGTGCCTGCCAGGTCTCGTTGCTGGCCAGGGTGTCCATGGTCTTCGTGGACTCCTTGGCCATCTTCCGGTACAGAGCCCAAACTTGCCCAAATTTTGGTTAGATCCTGTCAGATTCGCTCGAGGATCTCAAGCGGTGGAGAAGGTCCCTGCTTGTGTGCTTGTACGCGTGAACATGCGCCTTGCGCTACATGAACAGAAGCAATGAAATCGGCGTCATGAGTCCTCAGACGAACGGCTCCAAGCGAAAGGAAGTACCCGTTGACATCATTTTCCTAGATTGCTCTTCTTCAAGTTTTGGCTGCAGAGTTAGTTTGATCCAAGACAGCTCAGCTCGCGCAGCTCGTGGGAGCACCCACAATGGCGGAGCCCGAGCCAACGGAGGAGCTGCCGCCAATTGGCGGCGACCCGCACAATGCCGTGCAGATGAGGTCACCGCAAGCTGTTCTGCCGAGCTTCCCTCTTTCGAAGCTTGAAGGCCGGTGCGAACTACATACGGTGAGGACCCTCAAGAGACAGTGCTGGACTGTGGACTTAGCTCTCTAACCACGTATCGAGTGAATGCTTCTCCGATACGAGGGAGATGGGTCAGCACAGCATGTTTTAAAGGTTCCGCACTGCATCCTAGAACGAATTTTCAGACTGGTTACCTCCATCACGTTGTTGTCTGTTCTGTGCATCCAGCAGACACTTTCCAGGACATTCCCGCAGGCTGGCATGTGGATTGTGCATCATGTACAATACCCCAGCAATGCGATGCTCTGAGACGTGTGGAAGGTGGTTATGTTGTCAAGATGGCTGATGCCTCAGCAAGACTCCTCGGTCACCGGGTTGCCTTCCTGTTCATGAGCTCAGAAGATGTTAAGGCCAAGTCGGCACCTCTGTCGGATTTGAAGGCCGTGACATGTAAGCATTCTTCGTAATTGGTAGTTGGAGTGCTCATAGCATGATGCGTAGAGGCAGCGATGGCGCAGAAGCTCAGCATCTCCGAGGCACTCACTCGAATGCAAGAGATCTGCCGAGAGAAACATCCTCGCGCGGCCTTTGTTCCGAAGAGGACACGATCACCTTTGCCTACGAGGGCGAAGAGATGGACGAGAAGAAGACCATCAAGGACTGAACAGCAAGGGTGATGCCATGTGTGGGAGTCTGCACTCCTGCCAATCAGCATGCACCCCAAAAGGTATTAACTTATTACCTTGCATGCTGGCAGCGGCCTCCACTTAAGCATCGAGCACCCTTGGCACCGTGCCAATGATCTATTCAATAGAACTTCTGTCCTCCAAACAGCTCCGAGTCCGAAGCCGCGACCTACGCCCGGCGCAGAGGACAACGGAATCCCTGAGCCGGGACCGGCTGCAAGGCGTGCCGGGGCCAGAGTGGAGCTGCTGCCGGATCCCCGGAATCGGATCGGATCGAGTCGCGCCGCACCGCCTGCCTGTCTCTTCTAGCTGTGGGAAAGTGCCCCCCCCGGAGGTTCTTGATTCGAGCTGGTGTAGAAATCGGCGCCCAGCGCGCTCGTCGGGAGGTGGGAAAGCAGCAGGAAGCAGTTGCAAAAGTCTGGGTTGACCATCGAGCGTGAAGGGCACAGCAAGTCGCTTTTTGGCAAGCGCAGGCAGCAGAGGCGGCAGAAGAAGCAGAGCGTCTTCGCCTTGAAGAGGTGCAGCCACATACTTCCAACGGTGAGCGTTGCTGCTAAAACTGCTTTCAAGGAAGCCCTCAGGAGGAAGGAAGAGGCCCGGCTTTTGGCACGGGTCTTGATGAGGCGGAGCATGTAGTATGCTTTGCAGGAAGAGAGGCGGATCAAAATGGAAGAGGAACGCAAAATGGCAGAAAAAAGAAAGGCTGACGCCTGGTCCTCGGCCTCTGCCTAGTGTGTTGATCTGTCAGTAGTCAACAGCGCAGTTCGGTTTTGTTGATGCTGTGATTCTGTGAGCCATGCTCTGCCAGGCCGAGGCAGAACTCCGACGACAGGCCAGGCAAGATCAGGGCCCGGCTAAAATCCTTTCTTGCATTGCTCGTTTCCCTGAGCTCCAGGAGGAAGCACGCAGAAACAATCGATGTGTTCTACGCTGTTTAGAGATCGGGGGAGGTGGTGGCAAGGACAGCTGTGCCAATTTACACAACCGGGAGGCTTGTGCTTTGATTCAGGAGTAGGGGCCTACATGTGCCACAGGAGCTAGTCACTGCAAGCAACCTGACCGTCATGGAGGTGCAGGGTTGCTTGTGCTGTTTTGCTTGCTGCCTGACCTCTCATCAGTGGCCTTGTGGGACGGTTCTGCTGAGCCCACTTCCTCCCTGTACGATACGGTTCTGCTGCTGTGTCTGTCGAGGCTTGCCGTCCGCCTCCTTGTAAAGCCTCGCTTCCAGTCCCAACGATCGACTGGTGGCACCTTGCCAGTTCGCCCCTGTCGCTGCGATGCCGACTCTCCTTCTCTCTCCTGGCCTTGCGACATGCTTCTTGCCATGCCGGCAGGCTGCCGATCAATGTACAACTGGGGAGAATGCAACTTCACGCTTTCTGGTCACTCCTTACTTCTGGTTGACTGCGTTCTTGTCTTCTGCTCCGTGACGAACAAGAGGACTCTTTCCGTAGGAGGAGTTGTCCACTGCGTCCGTGGCCCGGGTTACCCAAACAAGCTCGCTTTCGGGCAAAGATAGAAGGATGCTCTGCATGCTGGAGTCTAATCCTAACCCCTTTTCTTCGCACGGGCCTTCACGATCCCTGCAAAGCGGCGTGAAAGTTTCAACGTCCACATCCAACGAAACATCACATGTTTCTGTGGACGTGCTGGGCAAGAACAGACTAGATCACTGGAGACCGGTGTGCCACCTGCGAAAGGTTGCTCGCCAGTTGTGCAGAGAGTCAGTGTCTCAGTCGTTGTCGTTGTTGTTCTTGTTGTTGTTGCTCTTTGTTTCCGAGCTCGTTCCATCGTGAGAGTTCGATGCTACTTGCATTGCTGCGAGGCTGAACATGCTCCGAGATGAGGAGCATCAAGGTGGAATTGTGCTTCTCCACAATGGCCAGCCACTTCCAGGACAAGAGCGAATGCTGAGTAGCAGCATGCCATATCAGGCTCTTCCACAAATTCATGCAGGACGTCAAACTCTTCAAGATGCAGGCATAAGGGACAACGACGAGGCCACTGGGTGTGCAAGGAGCCTACTGCAAATCAGTCCCACTCAGCAGTATCCCGAAACTCGGACAGGTGTATTACTTCTGGGGGGAAGGCGGTGAAGCAGTAGCGGAGCTCGGATGATGGACCGCCAAGCGCTGAAACTTGTGGCGCGGATCCCGGCCTTGTAAGAAACTCCGGGATGACGTGGAAAAGCCAGATGTGCTTCGAGTGTGCACATGCACTCGTTTTGGTTTGCAGTGCATGAGTGAAGGACCTGCGTTCCTGCAAAAAGTCCGCTCATTGTTTGGTTCTGGTGCACTGCATGCTGTCATTATTCCTCAGAGATGGAAACCCAACTCGCACGCAGGCGGCAAGTCTTGAAGCTGAGGCGTGTGGAGCTTAGAAATCACTTGGCAACAAATGTGAGAATGGATCGCCAGGACTGGTGCTCTGAACTCCCGTGCATGTCTTGCACTCCTCCTTAATGATCGGCAAAAATGGAAACACGATTCTCCAAGCCAATGCTTCAACAAAAATGGAGTGGAATGTAGTATGAGCCATTGGGAGATGCACTGATGCATTTGTCTCTCGGCCCGCGCGGGTCTTGCTGTGAGATGCGAGTCAGTTCAAACTGTCTATGCACTCAGCCTGCGGCGCGGAGTTACAGCGTCCGTTGAACTAGCTCCGCACGGATGCATCTGTCAGCTGTGTTGTGGCTTCATGTATACACCGGCGCGATCAAGAGAGTTTGGACGTTGTGCAGCACTTGCCGCGTTGAAATCTCAAGCGAAGCTAGCAAACGAAAAGCGCGAGCAAATGCTTGGCTTTCGAGACATAGACGGACGAAATGTTCGGATTGCATTTGAAGAGAAGTAGGTCAACCTGAACCTTTCGCAAATACAGCAGTGTCGGTTGAGTTCAGGGAGGACGAAAGCGTCAGGACAGGACAGGACTGCGCATTTTGGGAGGGAAGAGAGACATGCTGTTGTTGGCCCACGCAGTGTTGTGTTTTATTGTGCATCGACATGTTTGCATCAGCATCGATCATGTCGGACTTTGGGCCCCAGCTTGCCAAAGCTCGTTTTTTTCGGTCACATTGTGAGACAGCGGAGCGTCACCCGGCCATGCCGATTCTGATGCTGTCAGTACCGCTTCAACTTCAATAGCCACTTGAGACCCTACGGGCCCATGCGAGCCCGATACCCTTTGCAGCACAAGGGACGGGCCGGACACGTGTCGCCAGGCAAATGCTGGGCCCGGCCTTCACGAAAAGGTTTGTTTATATATGGAACCTGCTACCAGTAACTAGTAGCTGCTAGCAGCTAGTCGAAAAGATAATCCATGGATTTCATTTCTTTGGGAGTCGGGTGATGAGCACAGGGCCCATGGTGCTGATGCCAGCATATGCCGGCCTCTATGCGAGCTGTTGAGCAAAACAATGAGGTCATGGTAAGCTCAGTCTCATGAAAACCGGTAGGGGGATGGTGTGCAAGCTGGCCTCGGCTGGGAGAAAGTGATGGCCTTAGGACTGTGGGGATGTCGTTCGCGACCCGGGACCACATACTTGGCAAGGGTTGTCCATCTACCCAGCGGCTGTCGCCTGCTTTTCACGTCAGTTCAAAACTGTCTGCTTGCATGCCTGCATGTTCCGTTATCATTCTATTTCGGTTTAGTTGTAGCATAGGCCCGGAGCTTCAGCCCTCGTTGCGCCTCCTAAGCAAGTATTTGGCTTCAGGCCGTGCAAGCCGAAGCAAGAGACGTCCAAGCGCCAGCAGAAGAAACAGGCTAGCAGCGGTAAGAAGGAAATCTACCTCGCATCGCTGATGTCAGCTGGCAGGTCTTGCGAGATGCACGGCAAGAGAGGAAGGGCCAGAAAAAGCTTCAGAAACAGGCTCCGTCACATGTCGCGCCGGCCGTGCCGCGTTGTTATTTTAGCAGTGTTTTGCTAGACAGGTTGAGGCGTTGGAAGCAGCGTTGGCAGCGTTGGATGGATGCCTGAAAGAGCATCTGGGTGACGTCGGACATGACAGAGCGGACAGGGCGACGCGTGATGCGCTACTGGAAGCATTTGGGGCCACACGATGCCATTACCAAGAACTGCCACATGTTCATGGGCCTTGCCCTGCCGAAGGCTTGAGTCTCCTAGGCTCCTGCCTTCTTCGGCCGCAACGCTACAATGCCAAATTTCTCCCACAAGAATATTCACTTCTGCACAAAGTCTGGAGTCTTTTCCATGGGGACACTAAGAGATGTGGCGTGCTTGACATCGGAGCTGGCAACGCTAACTGTGCGGTCCTAGCTGCCGCACTGCTTGGGTTAACAGTGATCTGTGTCGAGCGCGAGTCCCCAAGAAAGGAGTTGCGTGCGGAGGAACAACTTCCGACGGCACTGAAGGGCAAAGTGATTCGCATTGAAGCAGACATCGCTGACTTTGACACCAGTGCCCTAGCCAGCCTGGCATGCAGACACAACTTGGACAGATTCGTGCTGCTTGCCAAGCACCCTTGTGGGATCGGCGTTGATAGGTCCATAGAGATGGCCGTCCAGCTCCGAGCATCCAGGCCGGCAAGTGGGCCGCAGCCACCAAATCTGCTTGGGGTCGTTATCGCGACCTGCTGCACCAACAAATTGAGCTTGGACGATTTCAGGGAGTCCAGAGTCGAGGAGTTCTGTGCCATGTACGCTAACCCGACAAGGACAGACTTCAAGACTTTGGCTTTGGTCAGAGCAGTTGAAGTAATGAGTCGTTGCAGTGCCTGGCGAAGTGCATCAGCAAGCCTAGGTAATGCAATCACCAGCCAGCAAGTGTCTTGGGCAGAACTCTTCGAAGATCATCTGCAATCCCTGCGTCTGAAGCGCTTGTCGACGGCCTTCGGCACCTCAGTGGAGGTGCGCTTTGCACCTCGGGAATGTACGCTCCAGGATAGGTGCCTCCTAGCTGCGGAGAGCGTGCCCGAGGCGATTTACGCGTCCTCGGATCCCGCGTTTCTCCAACAACTCGAGCGAGGCGTGCGGGAGCTCTCCGAGGCTGCGGGTGGTCCATTGGACTGCAGGCCCAAGGGCCTCAAGTCCGCGAAATACGATTTCGACTACACCGACGACTAAGCCACGGCATCATCATGCAACGCAAAGTGCATGTCCGCGAAGTGTTGACTCAACCCTCGCCCATCTCAGGGTCAACTTGATGACATGTCCTCGTACGCTTGCAGAAGCAGTCGGGGGCCCGCTCAAAGCCGAGCGGCAGTGATCCTGAAGTGCCAGCATGCCGAGCAGCAGCATCATGTAGCCAAAAACGACAATCAAACTCGTGCAGAGATTCGGTGCAAAGGCGGGCTGCACCAAGGGCTGTTGCGAGCAAGTTAGAACTGGTAGACATGCGGGAAGGATGGCATGACTTCTGAAATGCTTCTCGCAGCCTGACAGGGTAGTTGTTGAGCTCACGCTGCCGAACTGAGTAGCAGATCACAGGCATGCTACCTTAGCAACCCCTACCATAGCACGCGCAAGCGACTCGCTGCATGATCCACAGATCCGCCCCCATGGAACTCATGCGAGCACGTTCTGTGTAATTCGAGAGATCCTAGTGTTGTGAAACGAAGGGGTGACAGTGTGACAGCAGGGATGCTGTCATGGTCAGCCTACGATCTTCGTCTTCCGACTCTGCGAGTGACGGCCGTCGCAGCCGCAATTCCCAGCTCGAGCCGGAAGCCTGGTCATCTTTTTCTCATGCTTGGGAGCTTGTGACGCGCCTCTGCCATCTGCTGCGATTTCCAAGGCCACGGCTGCTTTGCTTCAAGTTTGAGCATCTGAGAGCTCTCAGGCGCGCTTGGAGCCGCTTTGAGCCGCTCTCGGCTTCGGCTCTGAGGGTTCCGAAACCAGGCGAACGAACGGGGTTTCCTTGGGTTTCATGTAGTTTAAGCTTCCTCCACGCTTCTAGCCACGACGTAGAGTGAGCCCGGTTTCTCGACGGGTCGTATTGTGTTAATCGGAGGGCTCGCAACGGCAAGTCGTAACTGTACCGCAGCCGTTCGACTTAGGCGCATCCGTTCCGCAATCCGACGGTGTGCTAGCCTTTTCTTTAGTCTGTCACGGCTTGATGCCTTCTTCTTCAGACTCGTCCCGCTCCCGCCCTCGCCGACGGCGTAGGGCCCGGCGGTCCTCGAGTACATCATCCTCATCTTCGAGGCTGTTTTTCCGCTTAACATTTCTGCCTCTTGACCCTTTCTGTCAGGCGGCCCCGGTCCCGCCTCTCCGCCAAGAGGCCGACCCCGCCTTTTTACACTTCCCGCCTTGGCCCATATCTGGCTAAGGTCCTTTGGTGCCCAGCTCCGTTCCATCATGTATGGTCCCCAGCTGTATGCACTCTAATTGTTCGCTTCCCGTTGGCTCTTCCCAGGCCTGACCCGGCTTCTGGTCCGCCGGTCTCGCCCCCGAAGGCCGGCTTGCAAGCTGCTTCCGGTCCTGCTTTAGCTCTGGCTGATTGTCTCGCCTTGATTGCTCGAGCTACCCCTGACTCCTGCCGCAGCCGCTTTTAGCTTCTAACGCTTTCTGCCTTCTCTGCCTTTCGCTCTTGCTGATCATGGCCCGCTTTGGTGGACACACTCTCCGCGACCTGGCCCGCGGTGTGGTGGGAGCTGCCGTTGGCATCCGGTCCGACGTCGACCCGACTCCGGCCGATGTCGAGGCCCAGGCCGTCCCGACGGAGACCCCGGCCCAGGACACCACCGTGGCTCCGGACCCGGCCCCTCCCGTGGATCCACCTGCCACCCCGTCCCAGCCCCCTGCAAAACGTGGTGGTGCCGACTTTCTCGCGCCCCAAAAGCAGCCTCCCAGCCACCCCCCTACGACTGGTGGCCTGCCAGCTGCTCCGGCCGGACGAAGAAAGCCAGCTTTCCTCCGGCCCGGCCTTCCACCCCCTCTTTCCCCCCCGCCAAGCCGGCGGCTGCTCCATCCGAAGCGGCTCCCAAAGCTCCTGCGGCAGCTGCCAAGGCCGCTCCGCCGCCCCTCGAGATGGACCTGTCCGTTTTATGCACTCTGGACGATGATGCCATTTACCGGTCCCTGGCCGACTTGCCACCGTCCCAGGTGACTCGACTTCTTTGTTTGATCGCTGAGGTCGCCCAGGACGTCACTTATGCCATGGGCAACCTGGGCCAGCTCGACGTCGAGGTTCCGGTCGCGCACATGTCCCAGACCGGCCCGCCTCCGAACCGAGGACGCTATCCGCAGACTACGCGTGGTGACCTCGCACCGTTGCCGGCCGGTCCGCGCTTTCCGGACCAACAGGCAGCCGACGCCATCCATGCCGGTCTGGACCAGAACGATGGCACCAGGCCCGATGGCAACCCGGCCCAGCCGACCCCCCCCGCTGCTGGTGGTGGCCTCCGTGTCCTGCCCGGTTTCGCCCGCCGGCCATTGACCCGAACGCGCCCCTGGTCCACTCTGATCCCAACCGCCCCGGCTGCACTCCGGTCTTTGTGGATCGGGGCCAACTCACCCCGCGCCGGGCCAACACCGGCCCCTGGACCATTAGCGAAGGCTGGGAGCGCCTGAGCATTTTCCTGCCTGAGACGCCCGGCCCGTTCATCCGCACGGACTCCTGGCCCTGGCCCGACCTCTTTTGCTTTGAGGAGCAGGACTTGCCAAGCTGGGCTCCGCTTCAGGAGCCTCCGTCTGTTTTGTCTCACCTGCACATTCGCGGCTACTGCTCGCATGATTGTCCGGCCCGGGGCCCGCATTGTCTCCGCATTTGCCTCCGGCCCGTGATGTTGCATTCCCGGACCGATCACACCGGGCACAAATGCCCTTACTGTATCCAGGACGGGTACTAGGCACCTGATCCGGACCGCCCCGCGTTCCCTGTGCCTTTTATGGCCCATATTCCAACTAGTCTCCTAAGATCATGGTGTTGGGGTGGTCCGCTAGGCCCGGTGCTGTGCACTTTTCTGCTTTTCGCGGCCGGCCTGATCCGGCCCCGCTGCGGCGATGCCTAAAAAGTCGTGGTTCCCCGCCTTGCTGCACCTGCCTGCCTCTTTCAGAGACATGTTGCTTTTGTTTTTTCCTGCCGCCAGGCCAACATCGAGCTGGAGACCATCGAGGATACGCCGGTCTCTTTCTTGCGCTTTGTTCCGCTTTTTGTTGCTTACCCTGCCCGGCCAGGTACCTGTGCATCCGCCGGTGGCCCCTGCGGGCAACCCGGCCTTGGCATCTGACCTTGGTTCCTTGCTTCACGGCTTTCCTTTGCAGCCCTCCGCTGCCGCTCCTCTGATCACACCGCCCCGCCCGCAGCGGTTGGATTTTTTGGGCGACACCTCCCCGCGTCAGTGTGACTCTCCGGCCTCGGCCCCTGGGCCCTCGGCACCGCCTCATTCCAGCCCTTCTTCGGCATCCTCTACATCCTTTCAGGTCGTGCCGGTCCCTACTGCTCACCCGGTCGATCCTCCCTTACCTGGACTTGCATCATTGTTTGTGCCTCGTCTTGGGCTGGCCTTGCCCTGCCTGTCCCGTGCCTCTTTGTCGGACCTGGCTGCTCGCCCCCGGCCCGCTCGGCCTCGGCCTGCACCCTTCCCCTTGTTCCGGCCTCTTCGCTGCCCGGCTCTGCGTCCTGCACGTTCGGCTCCTACGTTTCCGTTGGGCCCACCACTTCTATCCTGCCCCCGGGTACCTCGCCTGCCCCGCGACCCATTGGCGTACCCCCGGGGTCTTTCTGCCTCATCTCCGGATACGCGGCCCTCTGTGATTCCCCGGCGCCCTTCGTGCATTCTGGCTTTTTGCCACTGGCTACTGACGCCTCCGATTCCTCCTCTATGGAATCCACAACTGCTCGCGCCTTGGCACATTTCCGCAACATGTTTTGCGACTTTGTTCAGGAGCTTGGCGACCGCTGCACCTTGTTTTTGCATACCAAGCTGGTACCCGCGCCTCGGGAACTCCAAGCAAGTGCCATCGCGAAAAATGCCCCCAGCACTTTGCAGCTTTACTTGCGTTCCTGGTCTGCCTGGGTCCGGCACTGTATCCTTTCTGGGATTGATCCTGCCGACCCGCCGCCCGGTGCACTCCCGTCCTGGCTTCAGTTGACTTCCGCCCCTTCTGGCCTCTCCACCACCAGTTTCAAGGCCTTGAGTTGGATGGCCAAGGTGGCGGGCTTGCCATCTATACAGGTACAGTTGCACACTCCGCTCTGCTCCGCGTTTCTCTCCTCGACCGGCCCGGTGGAAAAGCGTGAAGCATTGCCTCTTTCCGTGTCCTTTGTCGTCTGGCTCGAACGGTCCGTCATGGATCCCACGACTCTGCTTGCCGAGGTCCTGCTTCGGGGGTCGGTCCTGTGCCTGATTTGGTCGTCTCTTCGTTGGAACGACGGCCTTTGGTCTCCCCCGTCCCGGGTGATACTGCAATCTGGCTCCACTGCCCTGACCGGTGTCGCCACCCGCACTAAAAGCTGCCGGGCCAACATGCCGTGGGGTTGCCAGCTCTACGGGTTGACGGGCTCGCCGTCCGCTTGTTGGGGCATATCCTGGCTTAACGCTCTTCAGCAGTGCCTGTCCGACACCAAACGCATTTTCCCGGACCGCACGGTGGATTTCTTGCTGCCGGTCCTCGGGCCTGACCCTGCCTCGCGCCATGCCCTGGCTTCGGGCCCTCCTGCAAGAACACTGGCACCTGCACTCCCCCGAGGCCTGCCCGCCTGAGCACTCCATGTATGGGGTTCACAGCTGCAAGGCCACTGTCCTATCCTGGGCCAGGCAGCTTAACCTTGACCCTGAGCTTCGCCGTCTGCAAGGCCATCACCGTCCGTCCTCCATGGAAGGCTCCGTTCGGGTCTATAGCCGAGACGATATAGGCCCAATGTTATCGTTGCAGGCTGAGGTCATTAACCGAATCCGGTCCGGTTACCGCCCCCTTCAGCCAGTGGGCCGCGGCTCTAGCAAACCATTGCCTGACTTTCGGGTGTCCTTGCCGCCACCTGATAGCAACATGGGTGGCATGGCGCCTCGGGAACGCGCTGGCCGATCGCGCTCCCCCCGGCGCCGCCCGGAACCGGCTGAAGAGGAAGTGGAAAGCACTGACCTCTCTGATGACAGCTCCGACTCCGAACAATCCGGGAA